CCCGCTTATTGAGAGCTTCGGCCAGGCTTGGCCAGTGGTGGCTATCCGATGGGTATGTGTCCAGGCGTGAGGGGCGGCCTGACCTTGGGAGGGGGATGCTTCCGGCCACCGGTCTTCCGTATGGAGACACTGCCAGCTGTCTGGCCGGACCATGCCTCCCCGCCCCCCTATAAAAGATCAGGGGGCGCAGCGCCCTCCGCCTTTGGAGGCCCTGGTCATCCGTGCCTTCCATAGCTGCGAAGTGTTTACGAGCTTTGCTGTACGCTTATTGAGTTTTGCAGCAGCGTTGTGTGTGAAATTCCACAGATGTTTTAGTTGAGGTGCCGTTCGCCTTGTGTATGCTTATGTGTTTACGTGTGTTACGTGCGAGCAATATGGGTGCGGTGCAGTTGTTCGATTTTTTGTTGTTCAGTGCAGTTGTTTATTGTTGTTTTGTTGTTTTTTTCTTTTTTTGCGAGCGGCTCGTTCGTGCTGTGTGTGCTCAGTGCAAATGTTTGATTCGCCCGTTGTGTCGTACGTGTGTCTTTTGTTTTTTTTGGGGTTTCTCCTTTTCTCTTTTTTTGGGGTTTTCCAGGACTCTTTGGAGGGGACAGATGCCGGCTTGGGGGCGCCCCGGGGAGGAGAGCGGATAGGGGAGCAGGGGAGGATAGGGGAGGGGCTGGAGGGTCAAGAGCACTATACTGTCGTTCGCCGTGTCCTTTCTGTTCTTCACTCCATAGTCACCGCGTGTACTCCTGTCGCCGTGATCACCCGCGGTGCCGCTCTCCTACCTCCGTAGATGCCCAGGGTGTTATCCTCGAATCCAGCCCCCCTCAGTTTCCAATACCGCCCTTCAGTCGTCTCCTCCCTGCGCGTTCTGCCCTTCCTTTCCTGCCTAGTCGCGCTTCACGTGAGGCTTCCTTCCTCCCTTCGCTGTCCCCTGCCCGGCCGGTGTCAAAGCTGCTTGGCGATGTGGCCCACTGCCAGTTTGCGCGCTCCCTCCGCGGTCCACTTGCTGTAATCTTTGCCGTATCCACTTGGCGTCTTCCTCGTGTCCTTCTCTGCGTAGTTGCAGATTGCGTTGACCCTCCTTCCTTGGGTCGCTGTCTCTCTCCTGGCTGTTTCTTAGCTGCTGGGCGATGTCGCTCATTTCCGGTTTGCGTGTTCTCTCCGTGATCAACCTGCTGTAATCCTCGCGCACTTTGGTCCCACCACAGGCTCTCCCCACTGCGTCTCCGACGAAGTTGGCACAAGAAGCCACGTGTCAAAAACGTGACGGCCGCGGAGCTCCACGTGGAACCCCCGCCAGGGGGGTCGGGCCACAGCCCGTGTCAACTCGTGACTCGGTACGGCCCAGCGCCGAAGTTGACCGCGCGTGCGCTAAGCGATTGTTACCCACACGGTATCTAGGTATACTAGTGACAAAAGATGGATTCGCCCCCCAAATGGCTCAGAACTTACTCACCAAACTGGGTAGATGGGGAAATAGTAATACGTTTACGTCCCTGATGGGCCGTGCGCTGACCATCAACACATTGATCTTCTCATGATGTGGTACATATAATCAATCTGGACAGTACCGGATCATACAATCAAGGTTCTCAACCGCAAAGCCAGAGCATACTTATGGACCGGCGATCCTAACAAAGAGAACTGCATACCGAAAATAGCCTGGCATTACATTACGAGGAAACCAGCCGAAGGAGGATTAGGCATCATTGACCCCAAACAAGAAACAAAGGCCCTACAAAGTTAAATGGATTGTTAAACTCCTCACCAAACCTGGATTGGCATGGAACAAACTGGCTCTGAATCAGGAATTTAGCCCCTATAGACACCCCAGCGAATATGTCGGGTCTTTTTTGGGTGATGAACAAAGAATGGAGCCCAAATACAGGCCGGAGGTATCGACGAAAAGGGATTGAGGTAAATGAAGCTAGACCTCCCACACCCTACTGGACTTCCCTGCCACGGATATGGCAGGAAATCATGCCGAAAAAAGTGGGCAGACCCAAGTCCAAAGAGGAGGTGTTGAGACAACCCCTGTTTGGTAATCCTTGGGTGAAGGACGCGAGTGACCACCCTTTAGCCCTTAAACCTAGAGGAAGGAGATGAATGTCATGGATAAGGCATGGAGTCTGGAAAGTCTGCCACATATGGGATGAGAAGAAAAAAGACTGGGTGACAGAACAGGAACTCGCCTGTTGGCTCAAGGGATGTCACCGACGGGATGAGAACCTACAAATGGTCATACGCTGCATTCCAGATGGATGGAAAGAATTACTGAGTGAAGCCTCAACATGGAAACCAGGAGAGTGGGGGGTCTTGGTACAGGAATCTTCTCCTTCCGGGGCCTACCAATTCTCCCATAAACAGCAGGGTTTGGACACTTTGGCTGTGTTCACCTCTTTTCCAATCATTCATTCGACTCAAGGGCTATCATCCATTCTGAATGATGGAGTAGAAAGAATAGTTCTAAACAACTTTGTGCTCGGGAAAGTTAAGAGTACTGGGGCAATGGCCAAAAACGATCTTCAAAATGGAAACTGCAATTCAGGACTTGGAATTTGACCCAGTGGAATGGGCCTGGACACCAGGAAGAAGCAAGAACCTAAGAACCAATATACTCGTCCATGATTATACAGTGAAACTGGGTTACAATCTCCTAAATAAAACCAAGGATCCGAATCCCACAATCAAAAATAGATGGACGAAGTTGATTGTTCAGGAAGCCACCCAGATATCACAGATACCGTGGAAGAAGTTTAAATCAAACCGACCAGTCAAAAGTAGAAGCCTCCAATGGCGTATCTCATACCTAGCGTTGCCTGTCTACCAATGGCTGCATGTCAGAAGAAGACACAATGACCCCAATAGCTCTGGCCTATGCGTAATATGCTCGGAAAATGAACCTGAAGACATGATACACTGTTTAATAAGTTGCAGAGAAGCGGCGGAGTATTGGGTCTAGGCATCAGACCTCTGGGCATCCCTTTTCCCGACTCCCCTCCCCGAACACCCCATTCAACTCCTCCTCTGGACTAACATTCCAGCTCAGTTCCACAAGTCCAAAAAGATATGGTTTGGGATGATCAGAAAAGTAACATTCTGGTCTATATGGAAGGAAAGAGCAGAACCATCGAAGGGATATCAACACCAAGGGAGAAAGTCTGGGCGGAGACAAGGACACTAATTCAGGCTTCTATTGTGTGCAAGCAGCAGAAGACAAGACAATCCATGATGGATGATGTGGATCAACAGCAGAGAACAGTGCAGAAATTTACAAAGATATGGCTGGCAGGCGGCAAGGTAGCAGAAATAAAGGACTTCCGCATATGTTGGAAGGACTGGCACAATTCAGAAGTGGGACTGAGAAGACTGAGAATCCAGCAAGCTCCATCACAAGCCACACACGTATCATAGCATACGGCTGTGAACCTACAAGTGCGGAAAAATGTGAAGACTGTCTGTCCCTTTGCTTGTCCCTTTCTTGTGCTTCGAGATATTTATGACAGGTCCTAGGTAGATAGACCTGAGAGGAAAGGTGGAGGCAAGGCAAGCTGACAGTCAATCCTCCATACTACTGGAGCAATCAATGCTGATCAGGGATCCTTCGGCCAGACGGAAGGAAGCGTGAGTCTGTTGATATTGTTAATTTAATAATTTTGTTTGACTTGCCAGTGGAATAGGAACTGGACTGAGACTCCCCAGAATGGATATGGAGCCAGGGCCATAAGGACTTGCTTTATTAAAAAAAAAAAAAAAAAAAGATGGGCAGGCTTTACAGATCATGGGAAACTTTTCTGACACCCAGCATACACCATTCCCCCTTCCACCACCACCCCCCACCCCAAAAAAAAGATGAAATAAAAATTGTGCGCGCACCAATGAAGTGCGCCGCGCACTGCGCACATGCACGTGGTGTGCGCACACTGTGGATGGGCACCCCGTGCCCCGCGCACCTCACAGGTGCGCCGCAAGTATGTAGATTCTTGACTTTTCTAAGGCAGTTGCAAGGAACATGAGTATGGACGAAGCACAGAAATCCAGAATGCAAAATCACACTGAAGTCCAAGTAGTCAAAGCCAAAGCAGATAGCACATGGAACCGAGTAACCATCCAATTGAGAATGATACAGAAGAATCGTGAGTCACTGTCCATGCCCAACAGGGCAACACCAACAGCATAACCCAAATGTAGCTCTCTCTTGTGAATGGCGCCAGGCGCCCTATCTACTCTACAGCCTATCCTACAACTACAGCAATGAACAGCAACCAGACAACTTGACTACCAGCGAGTGATGATGTCAACACCAATGCCGACCTCCACCTTCACCAGGTACGTGTCCTCYTCCCCACACTCTCCCTTGTTACCCACACAGCGCCCTTCACCTCCGAAGTACCACCTTCGCCCTCACCTCCCYTGCACCCCCATGCGGCCCGGCTATGGCCRCCAGTGCCCTTCGTGCAGGCAGCGCCCTMCCGCCTAGCGCTGGCCTGCTTGCTCTTAGCGCAGCACACATGCATCCGCGCAGCGTGCCCGCAAGTGCCAGCATTGGCCAAGATCCCTGCCCACTCGCCCTGCTTGCCTATATGCCAGTGCAGCGTGYGGGCGGCCTTCCTTCAGCCTGTGACCGGGGCCCAGAGGCTGAAGCCTACCCGATACAGTTGGGCCCCGRAGCAATGCAKTTGCGCCTYTCTCATCAAGGCCTGCGGCCAGATTCAGATAGTGGGCCGATTTCCCTTTGGCATTTTCRGCCTCTCTACCCAGCATGCATTGTCGSCCTCACGTTCGAGTGCCCAGGGCCTAACTAACTCAGAGGCCCTGGGCATTTCAGCATTTGCTGAAATCCGAGACTCGGTGCACTCCAACCAACTGGCGTGCTGCAACTGTATAGACCCCACTTCGTGAAATGTTGKCATAGAGGGCTCTTGTYGATTTGCTGGCCCGCCTTCACTTAGGGCGGGCACTAGGCTTGCTGGGGCCTTAGCCCAGAACATGTACATCATGGCAAGGCCCCTACTTGAGGGCTCAATCCTCACATYCCATCCCCCTTAGCTTCGAAAGTCCGCTGAGATGCTTACTTCGCAGGTGCCTTCCCTTTTAGCTTCCGTTTATGATCTGCCACCACCTGAGGAGCTGTTTCCATCAGTTCCTCCCGGGTGAACCACCGATCTTCTTTAGGATCCGTATGATGCCTGAATCTGATCCGGTACTCCCTCTTGGGCTTAGGAGGTCTTCCTCGACCCAGCGGCTTCGGAACAGGCATATCCCTGTGATCCACAATGTCGTCGATGTCGACTTGTCCATCCATGGTTGGGGGCAGCATCGATCTCCTGGAAGGGAATTGATCAGTCTCAGCGAAAGGTGCAAGCTTTGAGGCATGAAAKACTGGGTGAGTGCGTAGGTGTYCAGGGACACGAATGACATATGTGGGACCATCCAACCCATCTCCCACTACATCCAAGACTTCCCAGGGACCAAAGTACTGAGGCATTAGTTTGCGAGATATTCCGAACTCCTGTCCTAACTCACTAGCCTTGACCCAGACACGTTCCCCTACCTGAAATGTGGACTGTCTGCGATGTTGATTCTCAGAAGCAATCATGGCTTGCTGAGCTTTCTTCATATGTTCAACAGCATCTTGCAGCAACTTCTCATATTGCACACCGTATTCAAGTGTGCCTGGAGTTGCGGCGGGTCGGTTTTCAGGTAGGAGGAAGTCTAATGCTGATCTAGGCTTCCATCCTAAGTGCAGCTGGTTAGGACTAATGTCGGTACTGCTATCTATAGCATTGTTGTACAAGCTGGCGATGAGAGGTAACTGCTCATCCCAGTCATCCTGGCTGGGCTTGATGTAATGCCTCAACAAGTGTTGTACCACTCTATTCATTTGTTCGGCCTGTCCGTTGGCTTCGGGATGATTTCCCGAAGTCATCTGAAGTTGACTGCCCATCTGTTCCGCAGTCAGCTCACTTGTGAATCGGACGTCTCGGTCACTATCGATGGTCTTTGGTAAACCAAAGTCCCTTACCCAGTTGTCCTTGAACAACTTGATGACGTATTCTGTCCTGGCTGTCTCTGGCATTGGTATTAGTCTAGCGTACTTGGTGAATCGGTCAATGATGACGAAAATGTGCCTCTTACCACTCTTGCTGGTCACAAGAGTGTCCATGAAATCCATGGAAACACTCAATCCTGGACCCTCAGGAATAGGTAAAGGCTTCAATAACCCAAGCGGTGCTTGAGTTCGCGGCTTATCCTGCTGGCAGACCTGACAGGTCTCAACATACTTCTTTGCGTCATCTAAAATTCTGGGCCACCAAAATCGTTGTACTAAGTTAGCACTCGTCTTCTTGTAGCCAAAGTGCCCAGTTGCGTCATGACATTCGCCTAAAAATAAACTATGCAACTGTTCACTAGATGGAACTATCAATCTCTTTACTCCGGCCTTATCAAGATAGATTAGCCCATCCACCATCACAAACTCACTTTCTGTGGCCTTGTCTTTCGCCTGAAGTTTGCGGATCATGTCCATCGTGACAAGGTCTTCCTGATAGGCTCCCACCAATGATTGAGTTACTTCGTTAGATACGCCAAATTCAGAAACTAGCGCACCTAGGTAGTCTGCTCTACGGGATAGCGCATCTGCAACCTTGTTGTACTCTCCCTTCAGGTACTCAAGCTTGAAGTCATATTGGTCTATGACYTCAATCCATCGCTTGAGTGCATCAGAAAGAGCCGGTTGAGTCTTGATCCATTTGAGGGTCTRATGATCAGTCCTCAGATAGAATAACCTTCCCAAAAGGAAGTGTCTCCAATGGACAAGTGCCTTGTAGAGAGCATAGAGTTCCTGTTCGTAAGTGGACTTAGCCAACTTCTTCGATGGCATCTTCTTACTCATGTACTCAATCGGTCTCAACTTTTTCCCATCCTGCTGAGCCAACACTGCGCCAATGCCGTATTGGCTTGCGTCAGTGGTCACTATGAATGGCTTTTGCGGATCGGGAACCATGAGAACTTCATGATTCATGAGTGCATGCTTCAATCTCTTGAAAGCACCCTCGCACTCATCACTCCAGTCCCACGGTGTGTCAAGTCAAGCTAGATCAGTCAAAGGACAGGCGACTATAGAATAGTTCTTAACGAAGTTTCTATAGTAGCCGCACATTCCTAGGAATGATCTGACCTCAATGACTGTCTGAGGCCGTGGCCAGTCTCGAATACTAGCCACCTTCGCATCTTCCGGCCTAATCCCCTCCGCGGATACTTCATGACCCAAGTCTAGTATCTTAGTGCGGCCAAACTCGCACTTCTCTAAGTTGACCTTATACTTGTGTTGTCGTAGGAGTGAGAGTATTGTCTCAACATGTTGTGCGTGCTCCTTGACAGACTTACTAAAGATCAGAATGTCGTCTAGATAGACTACGACAAACTTATCTAAATGGTCATAAAAGATCCGATTCATAGCGTGCTGGAATGTACCCGGCGCATTACAAAGACCAAAAAGCATCACTACAAACTCATACAGACCATAACGAGTCTGAAAAGTTGTCTTGTGTTGGTCCTCAGGTCTTATTGCGATCTGATGATATCCGGATTTCAAGTCTATCTTTGTATAGTACTTGCATCCCTGCACCCTATCCAATAGGCCGTCTATGCGAGGTAGAGGCTCTGCGTTTTTCACTGTGATGGCATTGAGGCCTTTATAGTCAATGCACATCCTCAAAGTACCCCCCTTCTTCGGTACAAATAGAACCGGTGATCCATAAGGGGAAGTACTAGGCCGAATCCAACCCTTCTCTGTCAGCTCCTTAAGCTGTCGCCGAAGTTCATCTAACTCGGCGGGGGCCATCCTATAGATCCTTCCCTTTGGGGTCTTACTTCCTGGAATGATTTCTATAGCGTGGACGACTTCCCTTTCAACAACTCATGTGGACTCCTCGAACAGATCAGGGAACTTAGCAACGACGCGTTCTATCTCTGGGGGTGTTTTAACGACCTCCCCCTTCTCAGAGGCATAAACAAGGTACATACCCTCCTCTTCGTTTTGCTTGTAATAGTTGTAGAACGCGGATGTGCACAAGCAGCCATAGGTATCTATAATACTACTGGCCTTGAACTTGGTCAATCTGACAGTTCGGCCATCGGGCAACTTGTGTTTGAGAACCTTCTTATCCCAGTCGAACTGGGGTTCAGCAACTTCGAGGTAGTACATGACTAACAACATATCGAATGGCAAGTCGTCGCTAACCAAGAACGAGATCTTATGGTTAAGCTCACCTCCTCCATAGGAGAAGGTACAGACTACGTCCTTGATGTAGTCTGTTACAATCATGCGCTCCTTGTTGGCCAAAGTAGATGGTACAGGTCTACTAAGGTGCCGTACCCGGTCCTGTAGGTGCAGCCTTTCCAAATAGTCGCGACTTATGTAATTCCGTGTGGAGCCTATGTCTATGAAGGCACCACATTTGCGGCCTCCTACATCCACTTCCACCATGAAATGTTCCCCTCTAGGACCTTTCCTCAGCGCCACCCAAGACTCGTGAGGGTCCTTGTTTGACCACTCACTCTCCAAGTCCTCTAAGGCTTCAGACACATCTAACGTACAGAGCATAGTTTGGTCTAGTTGTGTCTGCGGGGTGACTAAGGGGTCATTAGCCTTGGCCTTGTCATGAAGTAGGGAGGGTATCATTCCTACTTCATCTTGAGTAGCAGCAGCTACTACTTCCACTGGCCTCACGTGTTTCCCGAGCTAGAAGCCTGGGAATAAGTTGCCCCAACTTTTGGCGCAACCTTTTGCGTAACCTTAGCGTTCTGACACTTCCACTGTGTGTATCCGTATTCTCCGCAGTTGATACAAGCGCCACGCATTCAGCGGTCACGCCACACGTCTTGATCAAGACCTGCCTTTACCCACTCAGCCTGTTTGGTCTGATTGGAGGCGGCCTTCCCTTGACCCCTTGGTTGGCCCTTCCCTCGGCCACCTGCCTTAGTCTTTACTACCGCGGCGAGGGTGCTACCCTCAGCTATCTCCTCGCCGTCAAACTTTGTGTAGTCCACCAGGTCAGAGAGCT